GAAAACAAATTTTATTTTATTTTTCTTTTTATCTTTCTTTTCATTATTTATTTATTTATTTAAGATATCTACAATTATATCTTTTAGTTTATTACGTAAATATTTTTAACACTTCAAATAAATTTAAAAAAAATATATTTAAAGGCTCAAATAATATTATTTATATATTTAAAAAAAATGGGTTTTACAACCGCTACTCCAAAGAGTATTACATCCTTGATCGTGAAATATCAATTGCTTGTTGAACTCTGTGAATTGTGTGAAAGTAGGATAACGAAGACAATTTGATTGAATATCGAGGAGTCAAGGTATTTTGGCCAAAATACCAATTAACGTATTTCTTTAGACAAATACTCCGTTTTTTCCTCTTTTCGGATGGTAATTTTTTCAATATTGAACCTTGGACATATAATAGTTCCGAATCGAATCTCATTAGAAGGCAATCTATGAATCGTTAAGAGATAAATCTTGTTTGGCAAAAAAGAAAAAATCTGTCTCTTAATGGTTCTAAAACACTCTGAATGATTTTGTATATTGGATCTCTCTTAACCATTAAGAACCCTAGTTTCATTGTACACAATAACCAAACAATTATATTTCATTTTGTACTATATCATGAGAGCCTCTGATCATTCTAACCACTTAATGATTCTGCACAAAACCATTCAGCAACTGTCAAACAGCCCTTAAAAAGATAAAAAGATTGTTTTTGTAAACAAATATATATAATATTAATTTATGGGGTGGGCTAAATCTAATTTACTAACTTTTTTGTCACGAAACCAACTTTTTATATTTATATGATTTGACCTGATTCTGACATTAAATCAGTAAATATAGTATCATTTTAATTTATTTCGCTATTTGACCTCTTTAATGTCGTAATCAAGTGAAGTCGTGCATTGAAAATGTAAAAATCAGGGTTTGATGTTGACACGTGAGAAAAAAAAATCACTTGATAGAGATGCATTTAGTAATGTATAGGAGTGCAATTAGTCTTCCCCTTTGGTATATACAGCTTTGATTAAAATCAAATTTAATATATATGATTATTGAAGTATGATCATGTTGCATGAGGTTTTAGGGCGGCATTCGGAGTTGCTCACACCAGGGATTAGTTGACAGTCGAAAGATTGGGATGAATTGGTCACATTCTTAGAAGACACTTGGTGTATCCAGTAGTCGAATTCAGGCTGGAAGGTTCAGGAAGTCGGGTGACCTGATGACAGGAGAGCCAACGACCGAACCCTTGATGCACGACCACCATAACTATAACGGTGTGACGGCAAGGAGGATCTGAGAACATGGTTTTTGATATGACAGGAGCTAGAGAGGTAGAAAATATGTCTAAAAATGCATTTTTTTCATATAAGATCCTAACATGCAAACAATTGGAGCAAGTATTATGAATACATTTGTTTTTTCTCCTAATAACTTTCTTTCCATCACCAACCAACCACTTATTCTTCAGTTCCTCCTCCACCTTTTAACTACTTCCCAAGAAAACATGATGATGATGATGATGATAATGTCCTTGAAACTGCTTCCATGGCTGCTTCTACCATTTCTTCATCCTGCAAACCAAACAACTAACTTCATCTCACATTCATATCCATAATCCATCAACACACACTTGTTTAACACACACTTCATTACCTTCCCTTCCAAAGTTACTTTGATCGGCCCACTTCTGGATTTGCGATAACATCCTTCATTTTTTCATAAAACAAACACAATCATAAACCGTAAACCATAAAACAAGATTTCTTGAAAACTGAATCGAAAAGGAATGAATTATTCCTACCAATGTAGATATCTGGAAATTCAATAGAAAGCTTGGATAGAGGCTGAGCAACTTCTAGCTAGACGGTTTTATGTCCCAATTTCAGTTATTATAAATATGATAACCAGGCGTTTTTGAAAGAAAAAGAAAGATACATACATCGGAGAGGGAGGTCGTCAAATTCTTAGATACAAACGGTTCTGTTGGTGGTACCAGATTACTACATCTTAAATCAATCAGGGAATCCCACTGCTGCTCCAACTCATCGACATTCGTAGCACCAAGAATCATCACATTCTCACACTTTATCTGTGCACACAACACATTACATTTATAAATCTATATATATATATATATATATATACATTATAATTTATAAGTTTCTCATGCAAGATGAAAATAAGCAAAGACAAAGATTGCATACCAAAGGAACAAGAAGCTTTTCATGTTGCACCAATTCTGTAATACCTTGGGGTAACTGAGCCATCTGGGCAACATCAGACAGATTATCTTTAGGAGAAGAAAAAAAAAGAGTGGGCAAGATTTTTTCTGCTACGAGCTCTTAATGTAACATTTTTTGTAACCTCTTTATATATAAATGATTCCAATATATGATTTTTCTTCTATTCTGAATTTAAATTGTTCAAGATCATTGACTTCTTGAGTGATGGTAAAAAAACATATATGTATATATATATAGAGAGGGAGGTTCGGGGGGAAATCCCCAAAAAAATGAAAAACTGAGGAACATCCTGCTAACCAATTAATCTGGACGGCATGTGCATACAAGTAATTGCAGTCACTTTTTGGTTTTTATGCACATGTGCATAGCGGACGAATTGTTTACAAAATTACTTGTATGCACATGTGCATACTATCCAGATGAATGGTTACCAGGGTATTCCTCAGTTTTTCATTTTTTTGTGGTTTTCCCCTGAACTAACCCTATATAAACGATACATAGACTTGCCGCCATAAGCTACGCCTCACACCATTTAGATCCTTGGCTATGAACCTTTATGATATATGCCAAGTATGTGTGCGATGTGTATAGAAACTAATTTTCTTTAATATATGACTGCCATTATTGATATAAAAGTTCAAATTTTCAGAGTGCCGGTAAGTTTGGCATCCAATTACCTTATTCAAGTCCGCGGTGCATTTTTCACCGTATAGGCGCCTTAGATGTCCTTCAAATTCTTCGTTTAGATCCTGCATCAGTAAATTTTAAATTGGAATCCTAGAAAATTACATTTTCATAGCATGCTCAAAAAATTAGGAATCCAAAGTGTTAGCAAAGACCCTAGCACCCCTCTCTTTTCATTGTCCTATCTTAAAAACGATCACATGTCATGACGAAAACATCTATAGGGTTTAGTATATTCAGTAAAGAGTAAAGACTACGACTTTTCAGAAAAACCCGACTCACCAAAGGAACACTGAACGCTTTGGCGACTCCCGCGACAGAAACATCTGAATGTAACGGACCAACCCCTCCATATAAGAACACCTGGCATAACCGTGCATGAAAAAGATTATCAGGTAATAGAGACATGATTAGAAGGTCATTCCACCAACTCCAAATCAACAAGGATTACAACCGATAACATACACATTTACATGTAATGGCATACCATGTCACTGGTAGACTTCTGCCTTTCAACTTCTTCAGATACCGAATCTACCTATAGAGAACCAACAAGATGTGAATGCAGGGTAAATAGTACTTTTTTACCTTCTTATTCCAAAACTCCAAACCAAACGTTAGGTTGGGGAGAAGGGGGGGGGTAGACGTACGCATACCTTACCTCTACATCAATTGTGCAACTAATATATCTTATATGTATATATGTATATACACACACACACATATATATATATAGAGAGAGAGAGGGAGGTTCAAGGGAAAACCCCCCAAAAAAAAGAAAAACTAAGGAATGCCCTGATAATCATTCGTCTGGACGGTATGCTCATGTGCATACAAGTAATTGAAGTTGTTTCTTGGTTTTTATGCAAGTGTGCATGTTATGCACATGTGTATATTGGACAAATTGCTTACAAATTACTCGTATGAACATGTGTATACCGTCCAGATGAACAGTTATCGAGGTGTTCCTCAGTTTTTCATTTTTTTGCAGTTTTCCCTTGAACCTGACCCTATATAACATATATGTGTGTATATATACATATTCATTCTTTTTTATGCCTGTTTATGAATGTGTTGCAGGTGGGGGTCACAAGCTGAACTATTACAAATTCTAAAGCAACTTACATCACTTCGTACAACAGCAATGCGGGAGACCATCCAACCTATAGAATGAAGCTTCCTACACAACGATGCTCCTAATTGGTCCTCGACAGTTCCAAATCTGAGCTATGTAACAAATGATAAACATCAGTGAAGCCACAAAAAGAGTAAGTATTGATTGATAATAAAATAATTTTGTGAATAGAGATAACCAAAAAGATAAATTGTAAGGGTGATAATTGAGGTTAAAGAATTCCCAAGAGCTCAAGAGACGTCACAAAATGGAAATTGTTGCAATTTTCAAGTGACAAGAGGCAGCATATGATGTAAGACTATATAACAAAGTGTACAAGCTGCTCTCAAAAGAAGATAGGCACGAAACCAGATATGATATATATATATATATATAAAACAAGGAACTTACAAAATTTCATCACCCACAGCAATGATGGAGGCTGTGAGGATGTTGCTTTGATGTGATTCCACACTTTTCAGTCCATTGCTAACAGTAGTTATTCGGCCAGCATTTGGAGGAGATAACTTTCTGGCTCTACCAGCTCTTTCCAATCTTCCATCTGAAAGCATATATGCAGGCCTGAACTTTTCCTTACCAGACGCAGAATCTTTGATGCATAACAATGCATTTGGAGCTGTGTCATTAACACTCCCTATTGAAGTATATCTATAAAGAAGGAAAAATGGTTAATAAAGACAAAAAATAATCAAGATACTTTAATATTAAGCAGCATACTTTTGAGTTTAAATAAGTATGTTAGGGATAATTATATAATTTATGGAAGGAAAGAGAGAGGAATTGGAAAGGATGACTATTGGTTTCCAATATTCTCTGCTTATAAGATGGGAGGGAGCTCTAGAACAAAGTTTCGTAATTTTGACCTTCCCCCCACCATAAATCTCTCTAACAAAGGAGATATGGTCATGGAGCTTTGACCATCCTCATCCTTATTGGATACCCCCTAATCTAATCCTAATTTTATTTCTATCTATCGTCTCTCATCCTCCCTCTCGACCTACGACATAGGTTATTGATTTTGCATTATTAATTCTTCATTGATTCGATTTTACTTTTGGGTTTCATCAATTTCAGGTGTGTTTCATGCTTCCATTGAAACCAATCTAACCCTTTTTTTCCTTTTATTTCTTTTACCCTGGAAAAAGTTAGGCTATTTCTGAAAAGGCTTAGGTTGGTTTCAAAAGAAAACACGAAACACACCTGAAATTGATGAAACCCAAACGAATAAGAGTCGAATCAAGAGTTTCTGATGCAAAATCAATAACCTATGTCATAGGTAGCAAGAAGGTCAAAATTACCAAACTTTGTTCTAGGGTTGCCTACCATCCTATCTGCAGAAAAAATTGGATACTAATACTCATCCTTTTATATTCCTCTCTCTATCCTTCCATAAATTATTTAATTATTCTTAAGCTACTCCCTATTGAAGTAACTCAAATTATTGTATTGTTATTTGCATGATAAACTAAACAAAAAAAAACCCAAGAAGCAGATCCTTTATCCGCCACATAAGAGACAAGACACATTCAGGAAAAGATAAGACATAAACTAATAAAGTAGAATGCATGTCGAAGTATGTGATTGGTGAATTACCCTTCGTCATAAAGACTGCAGTATGGAACCTTGCAAGTCAAAAGAAAAGCCCAAACGTCTCTGCCAAAAAAAAATCATGGGAATTAGAGCGTATGAAAAGTAAGCTTGAACAACTGACAACTGAATCGCTATTAGTGGATGTTTGCATGTAAAGCCTAATTATCTTTAGTGAATAGGTGACCCTATTTGTGATCTTATGTGTATGCCACAGATGCTTGAATGTTAAGATTTTTTTCGATACTAATCATCGTCCGGTTGTCATTTGAGTTGCATTCAATGTGATAAGCAACATACATAATATAGATATTTAGTTGTGGTACTCTTTTACGAAGAAGACCTATCAAATGTGCAATATCCCAGATGCTATGTATTTAAAGAATGCACTAAAAGGTCCCATATTTTTACGAAGTGGAAATTCAAAACTAGACGTTCTATATAACATGATGAAAGATGAGGGATATAAATTAGCTTTGCTTAACTCATTAAGCCCATAATTCCAAGCTATATTGGCTCGATTAAAATGAATACCTTTGAAGCTACGCGTATCTAATGTACACGTATAACGACACATATATGATATATCATACTAACATGGATGACAAGATGGTATTTTATACATACATACATACATACATACATACACCAAGTATGAATACATGCCCCTAACATAAAGATCGTTTGCTTAAAACAAAACAATTAGTTCATGCCAACTTACATAATGATGTTTGCTTGGTCCACTTAAACATATCTTTCATGATCTTTTACAGTTTCATTTTTATGAGATGCAATTCAAACTTACATACTTTTCATTAAAAGAAAACAACCAATTCATTCATATAACTTAGTCCTAGCACAAGAGCATACCTGTATGACCAGTCCAGGATTGGATTGACTCTCATGAAAGGTGGCCATCCAGGTGAGCTGGGGGAGAATTGTTCTTGACCGACCTGCACAAAATCAACAAACAGGTTTTTTACTTTTTTATGAAACCGAGACAGATTTGATAACATGACGATTTAAAATATCAACCTTTTCCTTGAAAGAATTTATACAACAATGTGATAATCATTTGCAAATTATTGCTTACAGCAGTAGGATCACCAGTTCGAACACCAAGGAAAATAGCTCTTGTTGGTTTAGTCTTAAGCAAAGCCTCCAAACCAGACTTAAAATCTTGGCGAAGTATATCTAATTGCACACCATAACTGGATGAGGAAAGGTGAAGCAATGTTAGCAATTAGATGGCAAAAGTTCAAGAACTTAGATGGAAATGAATCGAGCAAAAGGTGAAAAATAAATAACGATCCACCTTGAGGCTGTTTCATAAGTAAATGAATTGATTTCAGCGAAGGCAGAAGGGCTCTCAAAATATATAGTCCTTATGGGAAATGTGGATGAATGACCAGATAGATCCCCATTAGAATGACCACAGTCCACTTGATGCAAAAAATATCCTGCCCTAAGAAGGTGTAACAAAACCTACAAGAGGAGCTAATCGTTAGAAATTTTTTAGCATTGAACTATTTAGATTTTACATTTGCACATAACTACAAGAACTTACAGTTGAATCTTTTCCTCCATTGAAGCTGAATGCAACCTCCTCGATACTGATAAGTGAGACAATATCAAGAAATGCAAAGTTACACAACCATAATACCAAGTGAACTTATGTTGATAATTTTATGAGCACTGTGAAGCGATAAGATTAGTACATGGTCTCAACTTTGTTTAAATACAACAACTAGGTGCTACTCAATTAGATAAACCAAAGATCAACGTTCTATTTTCTTGAATCAGCCTCTCCGCAAAAGTACAAGGGACTAGCTACACTACTATATGTGGGTACGCAAGGGTGGCGACATATGCAACGAAGTTTAATAGCATTGGCCAAAGTGAAAGGAGAACGTGCTACCAGTCTACCACAATTATGAATCTTTCTTCAAATAACAAACAATCGAAACACTGAGAATCTCACATTGTAGCTTAATATTACTAAAAATTTAATGATTTCCATGAGCATCCAACATTTCTAAGAGGAGTTAGTTTTTTTTTCTTAAAAAGTGCTTCTTAGCCCATTCCATTTCTCAATCTATGCACCCTCTTGCTCTATTGGGCTATTGTATCGATGGGTCAATATTCTCTAGCTATATAGATATAATAACACCAATTTTTTGAACAGCACATAAACTCACACGCCCATGTCTCCATAGAGGCTTGAACTCACAATCAAAAGGTTGAAGAGTTCAATTGGTCTCATCGGGTCAAAGGTCACTCGATATACAACACCACCAAGTGGGAATATGTAACATCCCACATTGCTTGGGAAGGGGAACGAATGTTGCCTTATAAGGGACTGGATACCTCCTCTATCAGACGCGTTTCAAAACCGTGAGTCCAAGTGTGGACAAAGTGGACAATATCTAGTACAGTTAACCCAAGATGTTACACATATGAACTCCATTTTTAGATATTTAGCCATTGGTTTGTAGCATGTCCAATTGGCAAAGAGCACTGCGTAATTTGTGCAACATTAGTGCTTTACAACTATCTACTTACAAATATACACAAAATATTCGACATTTTATGTAACGTATCATAAATGCTCCCATTTGCACAAGTTCTTATGTATGTAAAAAGCCAAATAATTGTCACTAAACTAACCCAAACAACTAAATGGCCATCACTTGTACAATGATATCAAATCAGGCAATCAACATGAATGAGAACTTACTATAACTGTGGACTCTTAAAAATACCACCAACAATGTGAAGATTGTATGCATGTCAACGTAGATATTATAAAGCATAGTGTGCACCACATGTTAATACAAAAGATACAACCTCCATGAAAAGTAATAGAATCGTAATATATCTTCTTTTGTGGCATACATAACATACATGTTTTTTTTTAAGTATATAATATTTATATACAGCAAATGCAACAAAACTCACACACCCTCCTCACCTATAGTGAGGTTTGAACCCCTGACCTCCTAGAAGGCCAAGGGCTACGATACTGCTAAGCCAAAGTCCCTTTGGTACATAACATACATGTTACATGTGCATACCGGACAAGTTGCTTACAAATTACTTGTATGCGTGTGTGCATGTTTTGCACATGTGCATACTGGACAAATAGCTTACGAATTATTTGTATGCACATGTGCATTGTGTCCAGATGAATAGTTACCAGGTCTTCCTCAGTTTTTTATTTTTTTTCTTTTACGGTTTTCCCTTGAACCCCTACATATTTGAACCTCACAGTATATATAATACAAACTCCTTTCTAGCAATTAACCTTTACATGTTTGCTATAACCTTAACTGGCCAACCTGTTAAGGAGAATAACATTGGCACACATTTGTGGAATGTTAATCATTTATAAAACTGTCAAAAATACTCAAATGTTTTACTGCATGCTTCCATTGTTCAAGAAGAATCACATGATCCAGAAACAGAGGCCAATCTTGCATACCATCTTAAACAGATTTAAGAAAGAACATTAATATATAAAGATTGCCGGCAGGCCTGCATTGACTTCTACATTTTAAATTCCTAAATCTCTAAAGACCCAAATCAGTGTCACCAAAATCAAACCCTAAAACGGAATCGGAGCAATGATATAACTAGAATCTACGATAAGAAACAAACATGAAAACTGAAACTTACGGGTAAAGAGCAAGAGCTCTTTGAATAACGTTGATGGCGTTATTATACTTGGTCTTCAGCCTTTGATCATTGCTCTCTCTAATTGCTTTATCGATCTCCATTTACGTGTCTTACTTTCTGAAATCTTTCCTGCAAAAACCAAAACGAAAATTGCAGACTAAAAGCAAATCAAGAAAGAGGTTCTTCATGGAAACTTAAAAAGAAAGATTCAAACCGGTCAAAAAGGGTTTAGTTTCCAAATTCCGTGTTGAATTGTCAGACGGATTCGAAATCGCAACACGGAATTTGGAATTGGGAGAAAGAAATTTGGGATATTTTGCTCAACGGGTGAAGGGTTTTTATGGATGGATGCCGCTGGTGATCTATCTATTATCTATACAAAAACAGAATTTTGCTACGAGTCGTTGGGGGGCGTTATGTGTCCATGTCTCATTTTCGCATATTCTGATCTTCAAATCCCCCTCACATTAAAATCTTGATTTTGTGTGTGATTGGATTGGAATAACGGGGTGTTTGGGATGATTTCGATGTAGTATCGGTAATAAGCATTTTTTAGTGTTTTGATAAACAACTTATATCGGTGTCAAACCGGTAATAAGAAGTTTTTGAATAAGTTAAATCCTTCTGACTTATAATAAGTTGATAAGTATTTTTGTAGAAAAACATAAGTTGTTTCAAATAATCAATCTCAAACTCCCCCTAAAAGTAATCTCATTTAAAAATATATCTTTTTTTTCTTAAAAATATTCGATAGCAATCTTTATATATGTTCGAAATGAAATTTGTACGAGGGATTTGATCGTTAAACAGTAAAATGAATCAGTTTACGATATATTAATACAGATGTTCAGAGACTATTTGTGCTGACATCCACAATGTTTGGATCAAATTTACTTTAAGAATCTTTTTCCAAAAGAATTAAACACTTATAGACACAGAGTACACAAAATATTTTCACAATAAGGTTTGACATGTGCATTATTTCTTTATCATCTTAAACTTTGTTTCTTGTTATAAAAACACTATCAGATCGCTTTTACAACTAGGGGCGGAGACAGTATATAGAAAAAGGAGGGAAGGGACCCCAGTTAAAAAAAATTACCTGAATTATACATAATTTACCTTCATTCTCCCCAGTAAAAAATTTCACGGGATCCCAATTTATAAAATTCCTGGATCGCCATACAATCATATTTTTTTTTTTATAATGTTAATAATAAAATGGATGTTATAATGGAATATAAAATAAATCCAATTTCTTTTCAAGTCAAACATTTAATATAAATAATATATATGAATATACATATATTTATTTATATATATACACATATATATATATATATATGTAGGAAAGTGTTCAAACGATAATATTTTCATTTTATAAGAACGCGATAACATTTTTTTACTATAAATAATCACATGTGATACTATTATTCCATCACATATAATTCACATGTGATACTAAATTAGAGACGCGAACGATTTTCGATGCAATCTTGGTTGCAGGCCAAGTCGTTCTTACACTACTAAGTCCCCTCACAAGTATTATCACATGTGATAAGGTTGTTGTTGATGTGATACTACAATCCATCAATACCATCGCATGTGATGCTAAATCATAGACGCAGACAACCTTTGGTGCGACCTAAGTCGTATAACACGTCGTTCACATACCACAGGGTCCCCTCACATGTATTATCACATGTGATAAGGGTAATCTCGCGTTCTCGTAAAATGAAGGTGTTCTCGTTTGAATCTCCACCTATATATGTAATCTTAGACCATCGAGACACGTTCTAACCACTTACAAAGGTATTTGAATATTTTTTTTAATAATTAACATCAGAGACAAATCTTATACATATATATAAGTGTCGTTTACTAAATGCTTACTCGTTAAGTTTTTGTTGGTTATAACTTACTGGATAAACATGGTAATAATTGATCGACGATAAAGACCAAAAATTTTATCCGATAAGTGAGGATGGCGACTCTTATCTAATTAGTGCTTATTAGATAAAATGTGTCATACGAAATAATTTTGATGGAATAAAAATAAAAATTTCATCTGACAAAATACGTGAGAGTGTTGATTTTTTTAAAATAAGGGCTTACCGGGTAAGCCTTTTGGTAAATAACCCCTTAAAATCATTTTTGATGAATATATATATATATATATATATATATATATATATAGAGAGAGAGAGAGAGAGAG